CTCAAAATTAGCGCCAAAGTCAGCCTACAACTCAGTTTAATTCCAGTTTTTTCCAACAATTTAAAATGTTTTTTTTTTAAATAATAAGAGAAATATATTACAAAACGTTGTTGATATTTCATCTGAATTCCTTGGGCTCAACAATTACCTCAAATTGATTGTGGCTTCACTGAGCTTTTCCAACAAAAAATTGGAATTTTAACAATTAAAATTGTCTTGCTTTCAATAATTTTGGAATTGACTATATACAAGAATTATAGTGATTTTAATAGTTTAATACATAGATTAATTTTCTCTCCTAAAAAATATAATAAAGAATTTTTTTTCTGATTATAAACACACTTGAATTATGCGAGACAATAATATTCTAAAAATTGTAGGGTTATGAAAATTTTGTGACAATTGCAATGCATTAAGTACAGATGAACATTGTTCTAAATGATAATTACATTCACGATCTCAAACCTTTCAATTTGTTGTAGTTTTTATCCTAATCTTTCATGTGTTGCAACGTCGGTCCCAACCTTTCATTCTCGTTCGATGAATGGACAAGGAGAAATGACTATGACCAGTCAATTTCAAAAAAGGTAAAATGGTAACTTTATATTTTTCACATAAAATATTTAAATATTAAAAAATGAAACAAAAAATATGTATTCACCTTCTTTCCCATCTCCCTCTAGCCCACCCCATCCAAATTCAACCAGGTCCACAACCAAACCCACAGCCTCCACCTGCCACCGTCCCCTTTAGCGGTTGAAAATAAAAATGTAATTGTTGAACAGCACTATATAGAGTGGGTGAATATTCGGACCCTTTTCTGTGGTGAAAAATTTATTATGTTCTTTAATATTTTGCGCGATTATTTCTTGATTTTTGGGTTGTTACGTCTTTTACGGGATCGAACAATGATATCAGTCTGAAAACCCAAATTTGTGATATGTAGTCGCTTAAATCAAAACCCCTAATTCAAGTGGTTGCCAAGAGGCTTTAGAGTTTGTTTGGTAACACTAAAAATTCAATTAAAATTGAAAATATAGCCGTTATTGGGTCCCACCCGTCTAATAAAAGCCAACAATAACGTCTAATTTTTCAATTTTAATCCGATTTTAATCTCTACCAAACACACTCTAATAATATTATCCTACATCCTTATACATTTGTTTTGTTGCACATTGGCAAACAAAATCGTGTTGACAAGGGACCGGAAATTACTGTTGGAGTTTGCAATGCAACAACAAATCGTGGATGAGGTTTGACCCAGGAGCAAAGGTAGGAGGTTAATTTATAAGGACGGACGAATAAAAAAGAGAGGTATGATGTCTTTTTATTTAAATTAGTCATTAATTTTTTTTCAAGAAACGAGAAGATTTAATCAAAAACATTGACAAATTCTATCGAGGTCTAAAGAAATGCAATTAGAAAAAATGGTCCACTGTTCCAATTCTAATCTATCTCTATCGAATTATAATATAATAATAGCGCATATAGTCATAAATCAATAGGTCACGTACACTAATTAAATTTTGGAATAATAGAGATTTGTTGACTAACCACGAGGCTGCCAGAAAAGGTAAACTTTCACGTCCCTCTTGTAGGACACGGCTAATTTACTTGGAAAATTCTACTTGTACATAATTTTCTTCCATAATGGTTCACATAATACTCACATGGGGTGGGACCCGCTTAACTCTAGCCCACTTCCCATGG